TGTGTGTGTGTGTGTGTGTGTGTGTGTGTGTGTGTGTGGTTATCTTAAAACCGTCATTTTACTCAGTTTCCTGAATAGCCTACAGGGATGCTGGAGGTCAAAGTGGGAGGCGCCTTTCCGATACTTCCTCCTCCTCCTGGTTTCAGTAGAGACCGTGGTGTACCTAGAGGAAGCTAAAGATCTCTGTATCAGCCTGATCTCTGGTGACCTGTAAAGTTGAGATGACTTTGACAGCTAGGGAAAGCATATTTTCCCTGACCTGGATTCACAGTACAGACCTTATCAGCGTCACTTTTTCTTCTTTTTTTTTTTAGTGGTTGGAAACTAAGCACAGGGAATGTCATTTCTACAGTCATAAGTATAAAAAGGATTTTTGGGGAAGGATCTACTTAGGACTTAAAGCTTAAGAAAGTTTTGCAGTGAGTTGAGTACAAACTCTTGGAACTATGGGAAAGTTTGTCCAATGAGAAATAGGAATTTAAATAAAGATATGTGTAGTCAGGTGTTTTTCCAGTTTTTAATCTTGCATATTTAATTTCTGTTAAAGAATACTAAGTGGTTACAAGTGCATATTTGACTAACTGATTTCTAGTCCTGATTCTACCAGAGTTTTACCACTCAGTGCCTGATCTGTAAAACAGTCATATATTGAAGAAGCATGGGGGGTAATTTTTGTTTTCAAAGCTAAGGTTTTTCTAATGTAGAAAGCTTACCTTGTGGAGTAAAATTGGTTTTTCTCATTAAAGAGGTTACACTTCTTTCTACCCTTTAAATGAAACTAAATTACCAGTTCCCCTTCTTGACTTCCACTAGTGGATGGACAGTACTAATTAGTGGACAAGCCAATAGCCTAAGGCATGTGGCAGCCAGAAGTCAATGTAGGGTGTCTTTTCTCTATTTCTTTCTACCTTTCTCTTTTAAATTTATTTTATGTATTTATTGTTTATGTATAATGAGTGTGGGTTCAGGAGCACATATGTTTTGAAATCTTACATTTTGAAATAAAAACTCTTTCAACTTGGAGCTCACAGCTTTTCTAGACTGGCTGGTTAGCGAGTCTCAAAGATCATCTATATCTGCTTTGTGCTCTCATCCCATCCCTTCCTCTTTTTCCCAGTACTTGGGTTACTAGCACATTAACCTTGCCCAGCTTATGGGTATGTTAGATATGAACCCAGATCCTTTTGCTTGTATGTCAAGTATTTACTGAATGATCTATCGCCTTAGCCCGTGTATGGATTCTGAATGATCATATTGTACATGTGAACCCTTACCGTGATAAAAATGTTCAGTTTTTTTTCCCCATTTTCTAGTTTAGAAAGGAGCCAGACTCCAATCTAAAACCAATGTGCTTCAAGCAGGAACTTTTGTGGGGTTATTTATTCAAAGAAACCTAGACTCTGTTTATTCCCTTGCCTTTCTTTGGATCCTAATGCTTATCTAATTTTGGGCAAAGGTAAATTACTCACATTCTTTCCTCAACTTTGGGAGAAGTAGGTACAGTCATGTTTGATTGCTGTGAATACTGGTTTTTTCTTTTTCTTTTTTTCCATATAGTTAATGAGATGACTAGCATATGCAGGGCTTAATGAAGGGTATAAAAGCAATGGATACCTTTAATCATTGGTGTTTATGTCATATGCCAGTACTTCCAAATTATTTATTTTCATTTTCATAGTTCCAGAATTACTTTCAAATACTGTAACTTCCATGATTTGATTTTATTCTAATGAGTTATTTTTTTTTCCTTAGTTCTCGAGGAGTACTTACTTTTGGATTCTTTGATATTGCTACTAATCATAGGGAAGACTGCCTGGGCACAGAACTCTTATTCAACCAGCATTTTTTTTTCTACCTCATTAGCAAAAAGATAAATGAACTTGAAAACCATTGTCAAAGAGACATCATCTGAAAAATAGAAGGGACCTAAAGCATTCATGGAGTCAGTCATTTCTTCCATGAGATCCTTTGTCTAAGACAGAGGAGTCTGTCAGTTAAGCTCGCATCTTATTCTTTCTGTTCTTCCTTGCTATGAATTAATACACAATTTCAGGTGTTTTATCAAAACTATTTTAATTATTAAATATATGCTTTCTGTTATATGTAGTTTTTATAACCACATAAAGTAAGTTGTTTTACAGTTATTTAAATTTTTGATTATTTTATGCATGTGAGTGTTTTGCTTGCATGTATGTATATATGTATGTATGTTTATATGTAGATCTCATAATGTGCTTGTCTGCAGAGGTAGAGGAAAACATTGGTTCCCTGGAACTAGAGAGGTGAATGGTTGTGCACCACCATGTGGGTACTGGAACCAGATCAGGGTCCTCTGGAAGATCATCAAGTTCTCTTAACAATTTGAGCCATCTCTCTAGTCTCGCAGCCATTTATTCTTGGGCATCTGATTTACTGAAAAGAAAATAGATTGTTAATAGTATAATTTTCCAAGATTTGTTCATGGAGTGGACTCCAAGAAGCCAACCAGAGAAGCCAATCATTATATTTGGGTTTCAGTAAAGAGCACTGATTAAGAGATTCATATAATCAGTACTATTCTAGTAACATTTGATATCTCCTGAGATGGCTCAGTAGGAAAAAGTGCTTGCTACCCCATCATGCAGACCTGATATGTTCTCAGCACTCAGGTAAAATGTTTATCAGTCCCAACTTTGACAATTATAAAGTCTAAATATAAACCGTGTGATGGAGTATCAGATATTTAGACAATATTTAATTCCTTAAGTAAATATAAAGCATATTCATATTGTTAGTATTAAAGTTCTTTCATCTGTAATAGTGATATATATCTCTCAAAGAATTATCTTAAAATAAATTTATTTATGACTTATTGTCAATAATTGATTTTACACCCCCCTTTTTTTGTTGTACAGTTGTTTAACAGTTTATCAGGCCAAGAAGTATCTATACATCATCTCTGGATAACTTATAATATGCAGTACAATAAAAAAGCTATATAAATCATTGCTGTTATCTTATTACTTAGGGAATAATGATGAGAAAAATTTCTGAATTTCTAGTTATCTCTGAATATTTTCAATATAATTATTTATAATTAGTTAAGTCTGTTGATGGATGTGGAAGTTACAAATTATGGAAGATTGGCTATATAATAAAAGTGATATTAGCTATAGGTAACTGACTCACAACAGATTTATAGAACTTTATTTTCCATAGCTAACTTTTATTTTATATTGCAAAACTGGCAATCAAATTAAATTTAGACTTCTGAAGATAGATTTTTTTTCTTTTTCTAAATAATTAATATAGCTTCCTTCTGGTACTAGTAACACATTTGTATCCTTTTTACCCCCTTAAAAAGTAATAACCTTTTATCTCATAAAATTCATTTATTGAAGTGGCCATGCCATCTGTTATTTAGTGTTTACCACCCTGTAAAGAAAGAAAGTGGGCCAAGGCATGAAGGACAAATAGCTGATGACTGCATGTTAGATCAAGATCAAGGCAAGATGACAGCATCTCTTGTTTTCCATGCTGGCAGGGATTGGTATTTACTGTGTACTTTGATCTTAAAGTTGGGGATCACGTTTTGGAACAACAGTCTTTTTCTGACAGACAGATCAGATTGAGAAAAGTCAATGCCCTAGTTCATCTAAACTTTTCAGGTTATGTAGATTAAATGATTTATTAAAATTTTGTATATATTAATTAATGCTGGAAATTAATATGGCAGCAATTATTCCTTAACCAGTATTTTCCCCAAACAACCTCACAGAGACCTTTTTTAATATTTCAAAGCTTTAGGGCTTAGCTAGGCAGAGTCTCAACTAGCTCATCTAAGTTAACTCAACTACCTAGCCCCATCCAGCCACATGGCTAGCTATACCTTCCAGGCCTGTGATCATGGCTGTTTCCTCTTATTCTCCTGGTGAAAAGGCTTTCCTCCTCCTCCCAGAGTTCCTTTCTCCTTCCTAGGAAATCCCACTTTCTACTTCCTGCCCAGCTATTTGGCTATCAGATATTTATTAAAGACAACCAGAGAGAATGCCTTTGGTAGGTGAGGAGGGACAGAGACAAAATTTCATACAGCATACCCCAACAGGTTATATTGAGAAAGGGATAAAAGTACTGTTGGGAACTACACAGTAGCCAAGCCAAACTTTTTAGTGTAGGAAACAAGGATGAATATTAAGTGAAGATTTGAATTTTGCTTTACTTGAGAAGCTGGCCAATGTTGATTCCTGTCAGTTCTTGCTCAGATTTCTGTGGTGCAGTCTGCCTGCCACTTGTATATGCTGGTTCTATTTGTATAAGGAAAGCGGCATATTATAATGGATAGGAACACATACTGGAGATGTGTGACCATTTTGATTGAATGCCAGCTCATTTATTGTTTATTATCTGAGTTTTCTCATCTATAAAATGTAGATAATTGCCTCTAACCCTGATTACTATTTTTTGTTAGAATTTAATGTTGGAAGCACAGTGTTAGTACCTTACCTCAATTCTGGAATTTTCTGACCTCCTAAATGCCCTTTCTTCTTTTTAATTGAAAACCTGAATTTCAATATTTTGATGACTTTGCCAACATAATGCTGCAATTTGGGACAAAGCCAAGGAATGTCAGCAGTCTTCCAAAACCAATCCACTTGAAATGTAGGTATTATAGAGACTATATGCATTAGCTGAATTGTTACACATAAAATAAATAGCAT